AGACCCCCCACCTAGTCTTGGAAGAAAATACCTACAGTAGACTCCTTAACTCATGAAATATCAACCAAAATTCTCAAATTTCTTTTCGATTCGAACAAATTGCTTCGGTAACATAGTTGTACTAGTTATCGTGCAGGCTAATCTCTGGGTATTTCGGTCACCTCAGGAGGCCGACCTTTGAACGAACATTTTCATGATCGCTCACAGAGAGCGTATTTTATAAAAATTATTAGAGCAGTAGTATGCATTTCGCTCATTACTTTGCGACATCCTTTTAAATTCAACTATATTTTATAGAAAAAATGCATAAAATGTTGTTTCCTGTGCTCGTATGATAGAAAGTTGTGTTTTCTTCATGTGCCATACTTGAAGAAGAGGAATCTATCGGTTTTAGTTTTTATAAATTGCAGAATTGTTCTGAAGTTCACTTGCTGTGTCAATAGAGCTCAAGGTTGCCAAACCATGTGTTGAATCTACTATGTCAACGCAAGTAGATAATTTATATAATTTCCATAAAACTGTGCAACGGAGATGGATGGTACTGTATACTTTGTAGGCAACTTTAACAAACAGAAGGATACGAAGCATTATGAATGAATATTTCACGGTTTGGAACGAACCCATAGTAAGATATATTCGTAAACCGGAAATTACCCGATTTTAAAGTATAAATTTGAAGAATGCGTTAGTCGCAACCAGGGAGTCTATGAAAGAATACATTCTTAAACTTTTTCTACGAATTACACTTGAATTTATAAGGACATTTAAAATGAATGAGAAATGCACACTACTTTGATAGATACTCACATTGTGGAAATTGGTAGGTGACCCACCGCCGAATCGAATCCCTCGCGGCTGTGCCATGCAGCGACAGAATGTCGGTGAACCACACCTGTGTGTGAGCATGTATCTAGTACCTGTACAACGAGTATGCTACAAAATCAAGTGGGTACTGGAAGTGAAGTTCACGCGCGTTACCATCGCGTGCCCAGCCAAATGTCCTGCGCGGTCTCTAATGAGGGAGAACCTTAACACCCAAAGAATAATCGTCTTGTTCGAGCTACCACATCTCATTCGTTAGCGATTCATCGGAGGGCCGCATAAGGACAAATGTCCCCCCACTCCAAGTATCTTACAGAATTTAAGGTTTAGTGCTTGAGTAGTGTGTTGGCAGTGTGTGTGTTTAATGCGTGATAAGTGTACAGTAGAACGTAACTTAAAACTCCTTGCTTCTCGCGTTACTGAACTGGAAAAGGCAAAAAAGACCAAGAAAACTATTAGAGCAACTCCTGTTACCATTAGGAGGCCCCAATATGAACCATGGCCTCCCATTCTTCTAAACTGCTAGCTGGAACACGACTCTTTTTTCTCTTTCGATGATTTTCATTTCGCACGAGAACCGTGGTTGTCTAACTAACCACCTGTGCTGAACAAAGGTGCCTGATTGGTGTCTCAATGCTGCCAAACTGTAAAGGCCATTGCGCATCAGACGTACAGCTCAGGAGGTACTACAAAGTGTGCACGAGTGGGTCTCAGGACTGTTAAGTTTTAAATAAAAAAAGTTTCCGTGTTGCTTTGCGTTGGTCGAAAATATCACCTTTCATGAAACTGATCGGAAAACCACCATATCAGCTGTTCACGCTGACCCTGCGATAGCCCCACTGGCAGAACCTTGCGTTTTTGCCGGGATGCGGATTTCTGCAGCCACTGGATGTATATAATCTTCTGCGGTCGCAGAATAAGACTCTGTTAGTCTGATCATCCGCTTAAGAAAATGCCGGTCACATTGATTTGGGCCGACAAGCTGTTTACTCGTCTGCCATTGAAGTCGCATTCGTTGTTTCTCTGTACACGGCAAGTAAGCAGTTGTGGAAGGGTCTTATTAGTCATATCGGAACTGAACGTTTTTTCAAACATTTGTTACCTAAAGCAGTTCAGCGGACCCGAAACCCCCCCCCCGCTTCTGAAAGGGTATTTTTTTGTCAGTCTCAACAAGAAGTATACGGATTAGAAGATCCTCAATTGGAGGATACACTTACAATTTGCTCTGCGGTCACAGTGTACGGTAGGCCGCGCATACGAATAAGGGCCTGCGATGGTTCTGTAAACTTTTCCAGGAACTTTTCAGCCTCCTCAGTTTCGCCTGCAAGAAAAGAGGATAGGAGTCTCTGTCGGAAATTAGGAATCCCAGTTACGTAACCATTTATAACTTTACTACTTGCAGAAATTCAGTAAGCATTTTAATTTTCTCTTACCTCCGGCGACTGCAATGAAGTCGGAACCCTGTGCCATGTAGATTTCGATGTAACGCTGATTCATGTGATGTTTATGTTTCCTAAGGGCCAGGTCTCTTTGTTCGCGATCTGTGAATCGTATCAGAGCCTCGCCGTTACGACGTCCGGACTTGTTGAGCACAAGCGCGATGCCACCGGGTGCAATGTTGAGGCCTCGGAAGAAGAATTGGATATCGGACTCGGTGGCTTGCCAGGGCAGTCCGCGTGCACGAACTACAGCATCATCCTCGACCCGATCGGTTAACTTTCTGTAGACCCAAAGAATAGGGAAGCGGTTGGGGTCTAGTTTCAAGTACATTCACATAATGCACGTTCTAAGGCTAGGATTAGGGAGTTAGTCCCAACTACCCTTGCTGCAAAGTACAGCAGTGAGCTAACTCATGCAAAGTTACTGTTGAAATTGGATTTGATAGTTTAGCCTATACTTCTTCCTGCTATTTTGATCCCTTGAATGGTTTTGATGCTCAAAAAGCCTTTTGCTAAGGAAAATGGCTTGTTTAGTACAGTTTATTTGTGGGAACCAGGCCTAGTTTGACGAAATCGTAGGTGGCCGCATATCGAAGCAATTTCCTATGCTAGTAAGTAGAATAGAATCAAAATTCTAACTTTTACGGGTGGTTCTACAAATAAACAAAATAAGCATGGACGTTACCTTGGAAAAGGATAACATACACAAATATTCATAAGCTTTAAAGAAGGGCAGAAGTTTCTTTCGTAATAATCTTCTATAAAGGAAGCCCAGGTTTCTTTCTTACGGAAACCCTGGGTAGGAAAGCGCATGAAGACGAAAGGGACTTTGTAAAAAATTACAAAAAGGCCTAAAATTTTGTTGAATAAAAGGCGCGGAAAACAAAACATCCTCGAATTGATGTCGAAAAGCCTGGAAATGTGGAGTTTTTTTCCGAAAACTTTCGTTTTTTCCCAAGACTCGGTAATAATGGCCTTTTTCGAAGACATTTTATAAAATTAAGCGTTTATTATTAATAATAGGAAAATCTGGTAAAAATATTACTGTAAATGCATAAAATATTCATATGTAATATTTAATATTAGAACTCTAAAATTCTTGTGACTGGCTGCCGTAGACAACCAGCTGTTTTGTAGCCGGTCAACTTGGGGGCTCAATTGAAGCAAGCCGTATATCACTTCTTACCCCAAAGCTAAGATATGTTGATGCTGACCTTGGGCGAGGTTACTGAGGTAATTTTTTTAAAATATCACCCCTAGCCCCTACTGGACCAACGCCGTGTGCCTCTAAGTTGGGGAGGGGGTGTTCGTTGAGTTTGGGCGAAGTCATTGAACCTCTTTTTCTTTTCTTGCGAACCTCGATACTCCAGATGGTGTATTTCGCTGTCTATTTTCTTGCCTCTGTTAAACCGCAACGGCATGAAACGCATTTCGCGTGATCAGCAGCGATGTATCTAAGACAAAAAGCTAATCGCCATTATGTAACCGTAACGAACGGCAACTGAGGTAGTCTTGCGTTAAGTCGGAGGCTATGGCGATCGTATGGTTAGGAGATAGGAGAGATAATTCAAGGAAAAACCTGCAACTGCGCGATTGCGTGCTGCAGTCCAGGATATTGTAGCAACCTTGCTAAGCCACTCAGGTTCCAAATCAATAGTACTATTGCACTGAGTCAAGTCAAAAACCACTGAGCAATAAAAAACTCCACCTACTGAAAGGCATTTAGTAGGCATGTAAGTATCTACTAAAATTCGGAGGCTATCAAGGGAATCTCTGCTGTTTTTGCTCAACAATACGCTTTGGTATCTCGAGGCATTTATATATATATAGCCCACGTCACCATGTTCATAAGAAATAATATTCAAAAAAGCCACGTTTTGAGTAAAGATTTTACGAGGTATCTTATTTTAAAGGTTTTGATATAAAGGTCGAACAGAAACAAAATTTATGAAAGGAGGTTTGAAAACACTGAAAATTGCGGAAATTTGCAGAAATTTAAGGGACGATCCCAACCTGTGTGTAAGAGGACACCTAAAATAGTTCAATGAAATGTGACAGAAGAAACTTTCTTTTAATATAAAGAGGACGATCTGAGGATTGCATTTACATTTACTGGTCTAATGTTATCTATTTTCCACATCTGCAGAACTTCTAATTTCTTCAAAAATAATTGATTTTTCTTAACAGCCAAGGGGTATATTTTTATATTTCTTTTAAGTTCTAAATTTGCTTAAGTTGTTTATTATAACTTAAAAGTTCTCCTAATGATTTAATACTGGTTTGCAAGTAAATATCAATCGCAAATAAATTTCGAAATTTTGCGTGAGTTTCAGCCCATACTGTACTTCTGATGGTGTATAAAAAAGGTTTCAGTTAACAAAAATACCCTTTAAATGCAGGCTGCCATGAAAGGCGTTTGGAGACGGATTCGAACCACCGATTTCTTGATGTCACGCTACTCTACTATTTAGTTATTGTGAGCTTGCTCAAGCGTTTGGCAAATAACCTGTATTACCCTCTCTGGGAATCACAAAGTGAGTTTTTTTATTTAGTTTTCACGAACTGTTTCTTTAGGTTGATAGACAGAGCTCGTGTATGCAAAAGAGCTACAGCTGAAAACTCTGGAATATTTAGAGCTGGAAAATCGGGAGTTTGGCAACTTCACCTCTTCTGGGTGTGCATGTCTCAGGGTTAGGACTGTCTGGTTTACTTTCTCAAATATAAGTTGAACAGCCCCAGCGAATATATCACTCTGGCTCCAGTATGGTTAGCCTTAAAGTCAAGAATAACCGGACAGTCTACCACCGCTAGCATTAAAGCCATGAAAAGTCCTCTGTACAACGCTTTCAAAGCCGATTGGCTGCCATGCAAAACGGGATTAGCTACCAATGAGAATCTTCCGGTAATTATGCATTAACATGCGCCATTGGGGAACGAAACATAAACAAAGTAAGAGCCTGGATGTATAGGAGGCGAACATAAGGCAGTAAACTGCATTGTCGAAGACAGGATGGCAGATTTCAAACAGTGACCGTAGCATAAGAACGAACAACGAAAAAATCCACAAGTTCTTTCTGCCACCGAAACCTTAGGATGCTCAAATAATGTTAAGATCAATGAGTTTTGGCGGACTCCGGAAAACGAAGTTGAACCTTCCAAACTCCCCCCCCTTATTTCCTGACCTTGGACTCGCAAGGCGAGCCTGTTGTAGCTCAAAGTAATTTTCTGGTGGGAATGTGTAGCAAGCGCAAATGGCTCTCCAAGTCCGCATGACTACAAGTCCCTCCCCCAACTTTTGGAGTTCCTCCCTTCCAATAGTTCACGTTCACATCGCTTACTAATTATGGCAGTCAAGTACTATATCGGGCCGCCAGTTATAGCCACAAAACATCCGCGTTAAAAGGTTTGCCTAACACTAGGATCAGTGGTTAGA